AATTTGACATACTTTGCCGATGACACATAAGGAAATTTAATCTGTTGAAAGGCAAACTTAGGGCTAAACTCTTGGTCGTACTCTAAAGAGGCACTGCTACTGAAAACTGGCAAATGTAGAAAGTTCTTAAAAATAAATCGTATTAGGATATTAATGTTTAAAGCCAAAATCCGTAATTACTTCAAAAAGAAGACAGGACAAAGCATAATATCTTTCATATCATAAAAGAAAAATCAAGCGGTTCGTTCATTGAAGTTCGCTGACGCTGCACATGCTAATATTGCTTCTAATGACATAATCCCAACGTTGCTTTAAATATATTTGTGACGAATTTATTTATTTAATTTATTTTCGTAGAAGGCTGAAGTCACGTCTGTTAATTCAGTTCGTCGTAGAATTTGTGAGGGAGGTCGCAGAGAGAACTTCGCTCTTTGTGCACAGGTTTGCTCTTCTCAGCCTAAACAGCAGACCAGCATTCACTGCCGTAGATCATGGTTGAGAGGACGGTCGAATCGAACAGTTCTTTCTTTGCTCACATTGGCAACTCACTGTCAAATGATGGCGTTTAAGAAGATTAAATGCGGCCCACGCTGCCCTCCCTCTTGGCTGATTTTCCCGTCTGCGAGTTCGTGGTTCCACCAGTCTTTCAAATTATATACAGTTTGCGACTATTTCCATGTTTTCCTCCATTCATCTATGTACAGCCATCAGTTATAGTTTCTTTACCAATTCGGTAAAGTCGACGAAGAGTCTTTAAATGACTCGATATTTTTGTGTTACGTATTTGCTTGTTGTTATTTACCATCTACCCCGAAGAGAGTGTCAGACGGGGAGTTTGACTGGGGCGGTACATCTGTGAAAATTTAACGCAGGTGTCCTAAGGAGAGCTCAGTGAGACCAGAAACCTCACGAAGAATAAAAGGGCAAAAGCTCCCTTGATTTTGCTTTTCAGAAACATTTTCTCCTAACCCATTTTGTCTTGGACGGCGCTGCTGAATAAAGACCTCAGCAAGATTTGCCACAAACTCCTCATCCACTTTGATCCAATAAAAATCTTCAACTTCTCCTGCCATCGACATTGATATCGGCCACTGGGCCATTCATTGTTTCTTAAAATTCAGTCACATGTCTCTCACGTCCAACGAAGGATGGCTCTTTGTGGAGGGTATCCTATCCTTTGCCGCTGCTACTTGTAATGACACCCAAACTTCTGTTCAGCTTCCTATTCATTCGCCTTCCTGTTTCTTGTTATTATCTCATAATGCGTAGTCTTCAATTCATGAACGCTCCTACATTTCGCTCCCATAGTTTGGCAGTTGGAACGCACATTGATCGAAAACTTTCCGTTTCAAGCATAAGGGCAGTTTTCTTGATAGGAATATTTTCAATCTTCCAAAAAGTGCTCTCTTCCTCTTAGATATTGACGAAGATTTATACATTTCAGCTTTCATCAGCAACCACCGATTTTTCCGGGTGACCTCGGCGACCACTTTGGATAAAACTCATTTTCAAAGGATAACATCAGAAGTCATCATTTGTGCTGTAGTGAAACTCTATGACCTCAGTGTCACATCAGGTTAGTTAATGCATAGGATAGAAGCATTTCGGATGAATTTTTTCAACTGGATTTATTTATCCCTTTCAAGATGTATCTGCAGATGAAATCAATTCGTTGGGATTGCGAGTATAAATATTACGATTATTCTGTAATTTAGCATGTTTCATAACTTTCTCTAAGTGCACCATTACATGAAACTTTTAGTCGACAGTGTTATAACGCAGTTAAAGAGTAGAGGTCACCTTGGAGGCTATGGAGCACATCACGGAGCATTGTTCATATTTACATGCAGGCAGTATCTGTACCAATGAACGACGACGCATAAGTCTGTGTCTATGACTTATGAGTGACTGAATGATAAGTCTCTGGATTTCATAAATAGTTTACAAGGTCTGGATTCACTTACAACAAATTAGCATCATCATCATCTAATAGTTTCGCTATTCCATCGACTGTTATTCTCTAATCAAATAAGAGTAAAAATTCACAAGACGGACTGTCATTGCAAAACCACATAACAGACGGTTTAAAGACCAGCCAATGCCACTTGCTTAGGACATATTCACACCGTATATATTTTCATGCTTAGGAATCGAGTCCTTTCACCACGCTTAGTTTGTTGAACATCAGTGGTTGTATCTTTTGTTGCTTATCACATGGAATAAGCAGCTACCAGATGTGCTAAGTCAGAGTGCAGCCCTACGAGGCGCTCGCACCAGACAACATAGCCGCTCGTCACGCCCATTCTGTTATGACACAGAAAACATCACCCTGCTCCTGCTGTTTGCAAGTCAGGGTCTCGCCACCTGCTTCCCAGCCGGATGAACCAAAGCAATGTTGGGTTCTTCCTTGCTCATGAGAATTCGCGGTTAAGACTAAGATTGTCCTTCCTCCGGAATTTAACCTCCTTCCTATGGTTCGAAGCCGATCTTTGCAAATGTGCCACCAACGAAACATGGGACCATCACCAGAATCTTTCGAGACTGATCTTATTGCAGCGCAAAAGGAAAGGCGGTTTGTAGAAATGAACCGATGTTCTAACCTTTCAAATGCCTGTATTAGAGGTTGCGTAACAGTAAAAACGATGGCTAACAAAATCAGAAAAAAATCCTTTCTCTACTGTGTTCACTCCTTAATAATCGTCGAACCGTTGTTTAAGGTCCGGTACTCAGTTTTTTGTCAAGTTTGGAACCAAAGCTACCTGTACATGTAACGACGGATTCTCCGTTGTTGCTGACCGTAATTAAGTGGCAGTTGACGAACTGCTACTCACGCAGCTATGGTGGAATAGGCATCGTTGTATCATCTATCATCGGATTTGGAGTGACCAATGTGGCAGACGACATACAACATCAGATATAATTGATCTGGGTATTCGGTCCTTGACTCTGATACCTCAGATGACGAATACAACAATAAAATGTCACATTCCATTGAGAAACGATAAACGGGCGGGTTTAAAATGTTGAGTTAATGTTACTATGCGTTGTTTTCCAGGTCTTGACACTCGCAGAAATGCTGAGGTGTTTTCAATTGTGTCCGTCTCTGGCATCATCCGAATGTTCCGTTTTCTTATGAGCCGGCATTTTCGCGCATTTATTGAGCTAATAGCATACTGAAAATATTTGACGGTGCTTAGTCTGCGAATAAATTCAGAGACAAGTCCGAAGTTCTTCTTTTAAGATTTCTAATCAGACGGTACTTCGCCGGAGAAACTTATCTCTTGTCTCAATTATAGATACCAGCGTCTGCGTTAGCCAATCGTCTCACCTTGTGCGGCTTTCACTACCGCTTCAGTGACTGAAGAAGTAATCCTTTCAGCCTCGTCGCTATATCGTTGTGTGACAGCCTGCCGAACGAGTCTGCAGCGATGAGGGCCTATTTTGTCAGCCGTTTGAAGATTGGTCTTCATGTGAGGATGAGACGCACCGCTTCCTGATCGCTTTTAGTTTATTTCCCATAACCAGTTGCAAAAATCCGCATGACCAAAGGTCGTAAAGGTTATCACAGCTAAAGTTCACGACCGAGTTCATGGAAAGCCCATAACAACGACGGACTGATTCTTTTACTCAAGTTCTTCCAGTATTAAAGCCAACACGCATTCACCTTCGGCATGAATTTTCCACCAGCACGTTTCTTATGAAAACGTATCCCACGAGTACGTTTTCCATCTCGTGCTGTTATCGTCAGTCCAAGAAAACATAACTTGTAGCAATTCCTGCACGGTCTGCTACAATTGTTTCGTCAAGCCTGAAAAACTACAGAGGAGAGTTCAAGATTGGTTCACTGGAAAGGTGATTTCAATTTACAATGTATCAGTCAGCCAAAAGGTTTGGCAAGCTTAGCGAAGATACCGTGTAGATCACCTACAGTTCAGCAGTCACGTGACCCTACAGTTGGTGTGGCATTGTAGGTATAATGCACAACCGGAAACTCAATATACGACAAGTAAAAAAGAATGCAGATAGAAGATAAAGACTGGTGGGTACAAAGTTAGTAAGGCAATGAATTATATCGACACAAATATATATTTCGATTAGACTCATCATTTCCGTTCGTTATTCTGCGGTTTGAGCCATCTGCGGGCGGGATCAGATTATACGTATGCTTCCGAGTTCTCACAGATATACAGCCATAGTT